AGCCATAGTAACTGATGTGAGAGTGATAGTAACACCACACGAGGTCTTTGATACCTTTTAGTACCAGGCTGTATCCACTACTGTCCATCTGCTTTACAGCGTTTTTGCTTTATTGCTTTTGGCCTCTTGTCAATTGTATAGGTTCCTGTTATCAATGATAAAGCATGTAAACTCAGTGACATTAATAACCACTGGCCTATAGCCCTGGCCAGCTCCATATCCAAGGTACTTGAAAGGATCCTTCTAAATCGACTAAGGCCATATCTCAGCAATACAGGAAATCAGGTTGGATTCAAAGCCAAGATGGCATTGACGTGTGTATTTACACTGCAGGAAATACATAAACATCAAAGTCAGAGTTTAACTTTTTTTTATGTTTTCTGGATTCATCCAAAGCCTTTAACCACTGCAAGTTATTCAACAAATTATCAAAGTGAGTTGTACCTGGAAGCCTGGTTAGAATATTAGTTAGAATATTCTGGGAGTCCTGTCAGACCATGCAGGAGAAGTGGGGGGACTCTGTCAGTAAAGGATCCTTTATCATTTAAAGTATATATTAATGACTTAACTGTACAGCTCAGTAATTGTAGAACCGAGTGCATTATTGGTGCATAACAATACCATCTGATGTTTGTAGATGATCTGGTCCTCTGTTAATACAATGCAGGCCTTCTGCAGATTTTGAATCTCTGTTCTCAGAATGGTCTAAAATGTGACATTAGGTTTAATGTTGCAAAAAGTTATATTATGATTATGAAAACATAAGAGGATAAAAAAAAAGTTAGTTCCTGATTTTTATTTATGTGGAAGTGCTTTTCCAATAACTGATGTGTTTCATAGGCATCTTGTTACAAGTGATCTCTCAGGTGAGGTAAGCAAAGTGATACTGTAGTTACTGTGATAAGTTTAGCATGTGCTCCGCCCATGTTAAAACCATGATCGTTAGAGCTTTTTTTCTCTTCTTTACACTGCCCACTTGTGGTGCAAGTCTAGAAAGGGTGACCTGCAGAGTCTGAATGTTGCTTACGATCTGTATGAGGATAGTACTGAAGGTCCCAAGGCAGTGCAGGGCAAGTAAAATGTTTGTGAACTGTGGTGTACATACTTCCCGGCACTTTAATCACACCCCACAATTAGCAGTAAAGGAATGAGACTTTTAAAAAGCTTAAAAAAGTCAACATTTGAAATTGTACCTGTTTATTTGTGTTGTCTGATTTAAATTTAGTAAAATTGAATGTTTAGTGTTTATATTCTTTTTCTTTTCTGTGCATTTTCCCCCAGTTCA